ACCTTAGTTAGACTTAGTTAGGTTAGATAGGTGCCCTAACGCGCCTTAATTCGTTAGGTGGCGACTCCAAACTCGAAATTCCAAAAGAGTTGTTAGGTGCACCAAAACCCATTTTCAGCGAAAATGGGGCGCGACACCCACTATACTAATCTTAACCATATTAATATAGATTTGAGAGTAAGAATCTACATTACCCTTAACTAGATTCTTACAATGATTCATACAAGTTCGAAACATTTCTAACACAAGTGAAACGAATCTTACAAGTTAAGCTGAAATACAAGCAATCAAGAACAATATCAGGTACGGAAAACACTCTTTCAGTTGATCAAGTCCTTGCTGTAAGTGTTCTTGTGCTTGAGTTCTTCCTTGAAGATGGCCTTTTCTTTTAAGATGTTTGAGTTTTAGTTTGCCAATCTTGAGTTTGTGTTTGTTAGAAAGAGATAATATATTGAAACTGAACACAAACTCCTTGGGACCGCTCATTGGCTAAGAGTCTACCCTCTCTGTAAAGTTGTTCATGTGTTACATCAGAAGTGACAACTTTACAGCTATATTGTCGTCCTTTCACGTATGCAGTCTTGCTAGGACCAGGTCCCTTGTAGATTTCTTTGTGAGTTTTTTTAAAGGCTTGCTGGCTGACTTGCTTCTTTGAATGAATATATTAATTTGTTGTTTGTCATGTTGACTAAGTCAACCATAAAGAGTTATTGACCATTGGACCAAACAACTTCGTCTATTCTGATTGGTGTAGTAAGCTGACGTCTCACCAACCTCTGACAGAACAGCTTTACAATTGTTCCCAATAATGGATCTGGACGAGAGAACTTACCAAGGGACCAGGTCCCTTTGTGTGTAAGACATTGAAACAAACAATCTCGTCTGTTCTTTCTATTGGTATAGGACACTGCACTTTCACCTAACACCTAACATAACAGCTTTACAGTTAAACCTCATTTGAATCTGGGCGAGAACACTCTGGCAGGGATTAGGTCCTTGCATTTGTGAGGGTCATCAAAACACCTAGAATATAACATTTTTCCCCTTTGTGATAATTACACACAAATATTGCTCGAACTAAGTTTATTCATTCATTTGTCTGTCAGCAGTCCCAATAACAAGGATCTGGTTCCTTGTTAGATCGATAAGTTTGTTAAATCATCAAAACTTCATATCAACAATAACATACTTATTCGCCAGTTCTCTCTATTAAAAAGAACTCTTCGAGTAATTGGAGTTTCATCATCCCTGAAGTTTGTCAATTCATCAAAACATCAAAATAACATTTTTTTTCCTTTTTGATGATAATAGACTTATTCACTAGTTCCCCCTATCAACAAGAACTCATCAGGTAACTGGAGTTTCATCATCCCTCAAGCTTTTCAAATCATCAGAACATCAAAATAACATTTTCCCCCCTTTTTGTGACAAACATCTCCTTCCCCCTATCGACAAGACCTGGCCCTCTTTAAGTAGCTAGCATTTATTCCACCTATCGACATGACCATATCTTTTCAAGTAGCCACCATTGATTCCTCCTATCGACATGAACACGTCTTCTTCAAGCAGCTATAACACTATTGATCTCATACCTTAACCTTAACAAGTTTCCCCTTTTGACATCATAAAAAAGGGTTAAAACACTAAACCAAGTTGACAGAAATGCAGTTCAAGCAAATTCATGACCACTTGGGCAACACTGAGCATGAGTAAAAAAAGGTATAAAGTATTAAGACAAGTCAGTAGAAACAAGACATTTTTCATCCATTAATAAAAGATTAGTCATCAAAACATTGGAAATATGATTACGAATGAAAACCAGAACAATACCCAAAAAGAGAAATGAGGACTGACATAGAGAATTAGAAAGAGAAGGGATGACTTAAAGATAAACAAATTGGACTCACTGGAGCATTGAATTATTATCGATCAATAGACTGGCAACACCATACTTTAATTCTAACTTTTATTTTATAGAACAATAGTTAAAACACACCAAGATTCATATGGATATTGCAGAAATTGGGAGGTTACAGCAGCATGGACAGGAGCTAAGATACAAGTACCAGTGAAGTTTATTTGTAAATGCTCCTGGTGCCAAGGATTATTTACACAAAGGAGGTTTCAAGAAACTAGTGCCACTCTTAGAGGATGTTCTGGTATTACAAGGTGTTGGACATTTTATACACCAAGAAAAGCCTAAAGAAATTAATGAACATATTTACAACTACATTACCAAAATTTCATCCCCTAAAAATCACTCCAAGTCCAACATCTGTGCTATTCTCTAGATCATTTAATTAATTTACCTGCTTCAACTCATGTACTATTATTATTTTGTTTGATTAGTTTTTAAGTGTGCAAATAAGGGTGATTGATTAACCAGATGTGAGCTTCGGTTTGTTGTTCTTTTTGGAATTGGAGATTCTTGCACTTCTCTTTTGCTACTAGATAATGATTCTTTTCTTCCAATTCTTGAGAAAATATTAAGCAGTGAGTTTCTTGTGCTTTATGAAGAAAAAAATCATGCATAAATTAAGAGCACAAAGAAAAAGAAAACGCAACTAATTATTCCTTTAATATGGACACGAGTATATGACTCACATGGAAAAGCCAAGAGGAGAAAATACAAATTAGCATCTTCTTACTTACTTAGTAGTACAAAAGTTGGAAAGATATCACTTGCAAAGAACAACATCAAAGAGCTCATCGCGGAGCTAGGTGAGGGTTCGTGGGTACGAACGAACCCAGTAGCTTTTACGTAGATCCTATATTTATTCTAGACAATTAAATAAATAATATGTATACTAACTTGTGAATCCTAACAAAATTGACTGAAAGTATGTAAAAATGCTTTCTGCTTTTTTTTTAAAAAAAGTTTAGAACCCCAAACTTCTAATTTTGGTACTCTACTTCTACGGGCTATTCACAAATTGAATAGAAGAAAATAACTTTTTCAGGTCTCTTGTGTGTAAAAACGAAGATCTTTTGGGTAAAACTTGTAAGAAAGAAGACATAAAATTTAAAACAAGTTCGTAAAAGGCACGTAAACTAAAGATATGAGCAACATGGGCAAGTACCTCTTGCGTAAGAAACAAGTTAAGAGTCCAACAACTCTTGTGGAAGTACATGTATACCAATTTTTTCTTATCTTGTCTTTGCTCACCTTCACTAACTTTATACACTTTATAAATTAAAGCATTTCAACTCTAAAGAATAATCATCTAAAGAGAAAAAAAAATCAAGCAGAGGGATAGAAAGAGTGAGATGGAGAAGGTTGAACACAAGACAATGAGAGTGAATGGAATAAACATGCACATTGCAGAAATGGGTCAAGGCCCAATAGTTCTATTCCTTCATGGCTTCCCGGAACTATGGTACTCGTGGCGCCACCAAATGCTGTTCATGGCGGCTCACGGCTATCATGTGGTGGCCCCGGACCTCCGAGGTTTTGGAGATACCACGGGAGCACCCAAAGGTGACTTCACGAAGTTCACCACCCTCCATGTTGTTGGTGATCTTGTTGAACTCCTTAACATCATTGCCCCTGATCGAAAGGTGTTTCTAGTTGGCCATGACTGGGGAGCTATGATTGCTTGGGCCTTGTGTTTGTATAGACCAGATAAGATCAATGCCCTTGTGAATATGAGTGTTCCATACTTCCCAAGAAACCCCATTATAAGGCCCATTGAAGCTCTACGCGCTATTTATGGAGATGAATACTACATTATAAAATTCCAGGTTTATATCTCTTCTTCTTTTTCCTCTCCATCTAAATTGAATACTCGATTTGGCTATTGATGGTCTAGTTAATCAACCTTCCATACTTATGAAATTGTGAAGGAGCCAGGAAAAATAGAAGCAGAGTTTGCTCAAATAGGAACCAAGACAGTATTGGAGAAGATACTGACTATGCGAGACCCTGACCCATTAAAGATGCCTAAAGGAAAGCCATTTGACGACTCTCCAGTCATATTGCCCCCTTGGCTCACTGAAGAGGATGTCGATTACTATGCTACCAAATATGAGCACACTGGCTTCACAGGCGGATTGAATTATTACAGAGCAATTGATCTGTAAGTTCCTATCTTTAGTGTCTATGATAAAAGTTACCACTAGCTACTCACCTCATAATTGGTTCAACGTATTCTTGAAATGCAGAAACTGGGAACTGACAGCACCATGGACGGGGGCAAAAATAGAAGTACCAGTTAAGTTCATAGTGGGAGATTTGGACCTAACTTATAATTTAGTAGGAGTCAAGGATTATATCAACAAAGGTGGGTTCAAGAAAAATGTACCTTTGCTAGAAGATGTGGTTATCTTGAAAGGGGTAGCACATTTTCTTCAACAAGAAAAGCCTGATGAAGTTAACCAACACATCCATGTCTTCTTCCAGAGCTTTTCTTCCTCTGAAACTTCTGCATCCTGATATTCCTTTGAAGTTACACAAAACCAGAAAATGGAGTTGTACAAGAATAATTTCATATGCTTTAATAAATTATAGTATCAACACCATGTATCCTTTTCCAAATAGTATCACCTAACCTAAATAAAGTTGTTTTCCAGTTTCCATTTGGAATTTTCTTTTTCTTTACTGCCAAAACTTGAAAGGTAGGAGTAGAACGAAACAGTATACTCCCTTCGTTTCATTTTTTACTTGACCTTTGTACTTGAAATAAATTTTTATTTTTACTTGTCCATTTTAGCAAATTAAGAGAAATTTATTATTTTCTTTCAATATTAGTCTTATCATTAAGTAAATATATAAAAAATGAAACAGAGGGAGTATATGCATATATAGACACTAAATTTGAGGGGGGAAGTAATACACACAAATCTAAATTCTTGATTAAGCTCTGCTGAAATCAGATGCTCTTAAACAAATAACAGCGGGATACTAATAACAATAAATAAAAGGATCTGATCGCATTCACACAAGGAATTTTTCACCCTAAAAGGGTACAGATAAGCATATCACTGAAGAAAAATCAAGCATCTATTTCAACTTGTAATTTTATTTGAAAAGATACAAGTTGATGGTTTTGTTATTGTACAAAATATCCTAGTAATCATGGGAAGGAAAATTCAGAATATCCACAAACAAGTGGGTCAAGTATACAACAAACAAAAAAAGATAAACTTATTGTGAATCACTGCTGTTTCTCTCCTGGGCGTCTTCCAACATCAAAGTGCACATCCAGGAGACCTGTTATGCCAGCATCAATCTTTTGACCAACCTTAACAGGACCAACTCCTTTGGGAGTCCCTACAGAAATTCAGCAAATCGAAACATTGAATCAACCAAGTATAACAAGAATTGTATTACTTGAACAAGAATGTTTTAATGTTCCCAACACACAAGGTGAAGTGAGACACTTGCTGAAATTTAGAAACAGATCTCTGACAAGTAAAATAATTAATTGCTCAGTGAAATATAGAAAACAGTGGGGTGGATTACCAAATTAGATATTAACAGAACCAGCTTGCAGCATTCTTTTAGAAAAAAGATTAGTGTAAACTGAATCAGTTCCCTTTGTTTCTCAAGTGATACACAAGCATTGAGCCTTTAACTAAGTTATTTAAGAACTGCCAATAGTGGTAACCAAGAGATATCCAATAATGTAACAGACCAACAGAAACACGCTCCTCTTCTCAAAACCACACACGTGTATATCAAGAAAACACCAAGCTCACAACAGAGGAAGCCTAATGAACCTCGGTTTATTATTCCACCTAATATTTGCAAATGTTTCAATGACTTTATTATTATAATAATAACTGCAATGTGATTTCAAAAAGAAAAAGAACTTCCAATGAAGGCTATTTATCAATTGAACAAAAAAGCAACACGGATCATCTTACCAGTTAAAATAACATCTCCCTGGAGAAGAGTCATGATAGAACTTATGTGGCTAATCAAATATGGGATCTTAAATATCATATCTCTTGTTGAGCCTTTTTGGCGAAGTTCTCCATCAACCTGCAGAGTAGCAGATCATGATTAGCTGCAATTGTGAAGACTAACATCAAGCAAGCAACAAGATAAAATTATCACCTTTAGCCACAACTCTATGTCATGGGGATCTGGCACCATGGACTGTGGTAACTGCAAGGAAAAAAAAAGGGGAAAATGACCATCAAATAATCTCAAAAATGATATATAACACTATATAATTTTAGGGGAAAAACCAAAGAGAAAATGATAACCAACAGATGACATCACCAAAACTTCTTACAACTGAGCTGATAGGAGTGAATGTGTCTTGACCCTTAGCAACAGTCCATGGCAGGCCTGCAGACTGTCAGTTTGAATTGGTAAAAGTTGGTATCATCATCCTTGGGAATGACAATGAAGGTCAAACAGTAATTATTGAAGAACAGAGATAAATAACATAAATTGACATGGTTATTCAAAATATATGATGTAAAGGAATTCAAACCTTTGCGGTAGCTTGGATCTCCCTTGCAGTCATATCCAAGCCAAGTGCATAGCCTGAAACACAGAATGTTCAACCACCTGATTATAGTCCACATGTTTATTGGGACAAACAATTTAATGCAGGCTCAGAAGAAAAGAAAATGGATGAATATTGTTTAAAGAACTGAGACACAGAAAGAAAGAAAAACAATCCCAAATAAATTAACCTTGTTTTTTGGTTGATTTGCTTCCATTTTATAAAACAAAAAGGGTATCCCACAAAATCAATCGACATAGCTTAATAAGCTACTCGAATAACTCCAAATTATCTTATTTCCAGCAAAAGAAGTAGATCGAAATTGAAAGCACACAACTGAACCTTGGCCAGATAGACACTCAGTATTTACCTAAGCCAAGGACCAGTAACCCAAAATTGTTCAGGTGGAATTCAGTGAGGTCCTAAATCTATTGACCAAGAAGTGGCTGTGCTACCCAGACAGCTTGGCTGATGTTTGCAACAATCAAACCTCAACTTGATTTTGATCAAATAGAGACAAAAAAACTCTCAAAAGGAGCCAATGCTCTGCAACATTCTGTGGCATGGGGTGGAATGTGAAAGTTCTCCAACAAAACAGAAACAGGAAATAAGCAAGCAAATAAATTGAATCCAGATTAATTACTTCTAATCTATTTCAATCAAAGCCTTGCTGCCCAATAATCTATTTCAAGCAACTTGAGCCTCGAAAATCATTTATTGTAGCATGTCATTATAGTATATGAAAGTAGCATGTGCCTGCCATGGGCTTACTTGGGCAGCCCCTAATGACCTACTGTGCCTAATGACTCTACGCTGGCATCTAATTTCTTGAATTAGTGATACCATGGTTGAGCAATAGTTCCTAAATTGCTCACAATGTCACTTAGACATGTACTTCATTAAACGGGCAATATGCTTGTCCCCTGGACGGGTCAATTAGTTGTCCCTGTACAGACTATACGCTCGTCCCTGGACATGCCATACAATTGTTCCTGTAACGGGTGATACAATCTTTTATACATGACTTGGATCCGCAATACGATCATTTAAGATGAAATAAAACAAAAGTAACAGTCTGATCACTAGGTAAAGAGCTACTCTCTTATTCTCTAAGACATGGCTCAGCAACTATTGCATAAACAAAGGAACTATCTTCCCACTTCTATGATACGACTCTGTTTTTTAGTCAAATACCACCAACTAAAGTAGTAGCTAGTTGAACTCTTAGATCGCTCTATACAAAAGCTCTCAGCTCGCTGCAAAGGCATTCCAACAGAGGAAATCTCCTCGCATACACTTGCAGAATATTACAGCCAATAATAGGGAGCCCCCCAAACTCTCCAACAGCAAAGGCGGATATGTAATCTCGACTAGTATTACATTTTTCTTTTGATATAACATTCGTTGTATCTCAATAGTACATGATCAATACACGGTCATAAAAAAAAGAATAAGAATAAGAATACATGATCAAGAAGATCTCTACTCTGCATTTTAGTTTTACATTTTTGTCTCTCTACATTTATTGCATTTACTTTACGATTTAAATTCACATTTATGCTATTGGTGCTCCTTCACCAATTCACCATAGATAACTTTTCAACAGTTTGGCGTCCACTGGGGGTCCTAACAGCAAAATCTATTGATCTCTTCTTATCAGTTCTTCGCATGGAAGAAGTTCCAATTATTCAGGCAAACAAATGACTCAAATTTAGTGCCAAATCTGACACCACCAAAATGCAACTTTATACCAAAAGTTCCAAAACACGTCTTCAGATAGGGAAAATGGCTAAGTACCATTACTTAATAACCATTTTGAGCAATATAATTCTTTGCTTGCTTCAACATGGATCTGCTAGAGAACAATATTACTTATACAAGTAGGCAATTTAGCTACATATGGTTGCTGAATGCCTATAATATTCTAAATGAAAGCTTAAGTTTATGGGAGTAACATTAACTTGATAACTCATGCTATTTTTGTATCACTATTAGCTTGACACGTAATGCTTTCGTGCTTCATTAATGTGAAACATCATGTTTTCCTGTTATAAGCTTGATTGCATTTCACTGCCTTTGCCACCTGAACAATTATTGCATGTCATATAAAAACATATATTTGTAATAGTGATTACAAGTCCCTTGCATACTAATTGGAAAGCATTTATAATATATAAACTTGTGAAGAGTTATACAACTGTCTCTACACCATGATTATTGTTCAAGTACAACGAAAAGTGATGAAACTTTACATAAGTAACTAGAAGACAATGATATCATATACTGCATGTCTACATTGCTATGACATATTAATTGTAATAGCAAATTCCCTTTTCATATCATCTACTCAACTTCTAGCTACCAGTGTACAATTATCTCATTGTTGCTTGCCTGACCAACAAACTCAAGATTATCATTACTAACTGGTACTACTTCTGAAGGGAAATTACATTTCTGTGGAGCTATTTTCATCCCCAATGTTCTACATTTATTCCTCCTAAAATAGAATTAATTATATATTCATTTTGAAGACCATCCTTTTTTATAAAGTGCAAGATCATTGGCATACTTATTCTGTATGATGAAATTCTTTTGAGAAAGTTCTTTTTTTTTTTTTGAGAAAGAATGTATGACGAAATTCGCAAACAAACTCATGACTTCGCTTTCATGATTTATTACATTAAGTAACTGCATTTTATTTGCAAAATACTTAAAATAGAAATTGAACATGATTGGTTGAAGACATAGACAAACCCTCAAATTTGCCTGTAATTTTCAGACACCTCAACTAAGGGTCTGAGTCCGACTTATTGAACACTTACTGTTAGTTAAATATGTATCTATTGAACACAAGATGCCAAGACAGGCAAATAAATAATGTGTGAAGTTATCAAGCAGTGATGTGGAAGACAAACCAATGAAACAATGATATGTGGCATCCCAAATATAGTCCAAAAGAAAGATCTTGAGTCAAAATAGATTTAAAAAAGTTTTTACACCCACACCCCTCATATCCCTTCATTTTTTCCCTCTGAATCATATCTTCTTCGTTCTTCTCTTTTTACTGCAGAAAACAATCCCACCATTGAAACCAAACTCAATCTCTCCATCCTTTTTGCCACTTGGTATTGTCTTTGATCTGACTCTACCATTATAGTTTGGACCGTATGAGTTATTTTTTGTTAAATCAACAAACAACAAAAGCCTCAGACATGAAGTCTATCAAACTTGGATCTCCACCTGAAACTTTCTATGCTACTGAAGTTGTTGAATAACTTCAATTTTACACATTATACTTGTTCAGCTGTTCTCTTTCTGAATTAAGAATACTTCATCAAGTTACCTCTGAAATCTTAGTGATCTATAGTGCAAGTAAAGGACATTAGGTATTTACTTCACAAATAAAATTCACTACTCAATCGACTTCTGCATTCCTTCCCTTTCCAGATCTTCTATTTCCGCAAGTCCATCCTTAATAACACTAGCAATTCTTTCTAAAACTCCAAGCTCCTGATTATATACTCTAATTTAAGAATGTGGTACAAAGTTGCAAAATAGAAAACTAAAGAAGAAAGAACAGCTTTTACGCTCAACTCCACACAACAGCCTTTTGGGTCTTCAGCTTAAAAAGAACTAGGAGATTGATGAAAGAATAATGACAAGGAGGTGGTAGGAACTGATGTGATTAAAGAAGGGTTAAAAGAGGAGGTTGACTGTAGTGTGCTTTTACATTATTACTTTGACATCTGTTGATATATGATAGAGGTTTTAACTGGTTCACTGTGGAATTTAACCAATAGGTGATAAGAGATCAAATGGGAGTCTGGAGATAACCACAAAGAAGAGGAACTCTTTATTTCTTTTAGTCTTTTACCCCCTCTTTTTCTTTAGATTTTCAGGGATAGAACCTCTATACACCCAATATCAGGAAGGCTTACTGTGCGGTAAGGTTCACTGCTAATATCTTCTATTTATAACCTTAAACAAGTGAATAGTGCAAAAGCTACATCGAGTCATGCAATTGATAGGTCGGGGGCACAACATATTATCTGAGTACTAGTTAAAGGGCAAGATTTAATGTAGCTTGTCAAAGATCTCCAACCAAAGAAGCAAGTTAACATCTCTAAAGATTTCTTTTATCTTCAGGATCAGTAAAGAATTTATGCTGATAAATCTATGAAGAAAAGAAAAACACAGCATTCAGTAACACCAATCCAGTACACCCCTTTAACAAAAACTTAGCATCAGAAAAAGTAAAAGTCATTTTCAGTGGCAGAAGCAAGTATCTCTGATGAGCACTCTAATCTTTTATTCTCTGCTTTATCAATTAAGACACAAGTCAAAAGAAAGCTCCCAGCAGTAACTTCCTCCAATATGTGATGCTTTAGTAGCTTAGAGAGTAGACACAATTGAATGGACAAAACTATAAATCATGATTGAACATCAACATTGTATTGTAACCTAACAAATGGCATTGGATGTCAAAAATTGCACAAGTCAACAAACTATTCAGGCACTTTCTTCTTTTTATTAACTACAATAACAATCACTTATGCATTAGATCAAACAAAATTAGAGAGCTAGACTTGCAAAATAAAGTTAAATTCAGCTCAAGTGATCAACTTTGAGAATCAAAAATACAAAATCGAGCAAACAAGGTTTGCCAAATTTGAAAATTTTACAGTATGCTAGATCAAATGCTAACATATTACCTCCAACATACTCCATAGCAGTGGCTTCAGGTACATCCCTAGCTCTTTTGCTGATGACAACTGCCAACTCCACCTCGTGATCCAGTGATTCCAATGGATAAGGAACTTCTATTGTCCCTCCGTTCTCTAAATACGATGATGTGGGCTTCATAAACAATACTGGCTCCTTCAAAGTTTAAATAAACAATTAAAAACATTAATATCACCTTAAATCATCAGTGACAGATCAGTTCATCAAATAAACTCAGATTCATAAAAACACTGCCTCCTAAGGTAGTTAAATCAAATAACACCTACAATTCGAGTACACCAAAAAAATCCTGTTCAACCAAAGCATCAATCAGATGTAAGAGTTGACAGAGATAGCGAAACAGAAGGAGAATAACCTTAGGCACGGCGTTGCCGAGTTCTTTGGCGTGAGCGGCGTAGTTACGACCGACGGCGATAATCTTACTTCCGACGCTGATAAGGTTCCGATGGTCTGCCGTCGCGGCGCCGGTGGTGGCCATGTTCCTTGATGAAAATGATTTAGCGATTGCTCTACCGCTACTGCACACTAGGTTTCGAGCAATGGTGAATGTTTGAATTTTCGCATACATAGTAGTATATATATATATAGGTTTGTGAAAAGTCTGCCAGAAACGGAAATGGAGACCAACAATGTGTGTAGTGTGTAGCAGATGAAGAGAAATTCTCCTATGCTTTGTTGCTGCTTCTTTCCCAAAATTTGGTTTCCTGGGAACAGCTTGATGTACCACTATTTAAGCATAAGTGCGATTTTTTTTCTTTCAAACTGATATTCTGAAATTCAGAAAACCAAAAAAAAATTAAAATTGATGGAATAATTTCACAGGCTTTACCACCATAATAAAAAAAATCTGGTTTACTTTCAGTTTTGATTTTTTTAATAATTCTTTATAAATATTTATTTTATTTATATAAAATAATATGAGTTGAAAATTAAACCTTTATGTACCAAATATTCATACAGAAAGTTGACTCCTGAGTCTGAGTATTAGTTAAAGGATATGCATCGTTAGAATTTTTAAATTTAAACCTTTGTTTAATTAATTTTATAAATATTTTTTCAAAGGATTAATTAATTTTCAATGTTTATTTTTAATTACTTCCAAAAATTTATAGTGTTATACTATATAACACCTATTATACGTCACAATTTCTTCATCGTCATATGTAGATATTGATTTTGTACGATTTTAAATGGAATTGTTGAGTAGTAAATCAAAGGTTTACATATGATGATTTTACTTTAGTGTAATTATAGAATTGATCTTCTATTTTAGTGTTTTTGCAGATAAACATCTCAAAAGAATCTCCTGATATAAAATTGCAAATATATATATATATATTTCTTTGTCTGAATGTTAAATATGTTCATGTTTAGCATTTAACATCCAAAGAAAGAATAGTTGGGGCAAAACTTCTCATCCCCTTATTTAGTGATGGACTAACACATCAATTAAGTATTGTACCCAAAGTTTGTTCTATAAATTTGTACCTATTTCATTGGGTATTGATAATTTTATCTTTTGTTTAACACGTGTATATGTCTTTTTAACCTAAAAATATGATGTGTGTGTCCAAGAACCTCATAGTTTTTTCTCCCCTGAAATCTCTCTTCTTCCAGGTGAGCGAGCTTCCATTTTTCTCTTCTCCAACTTTCTATCTATTTTCTCTTTCACTTTGCTTTTTTGTTCACATTGTTTTTCTTTGCATTCTCATCTTCTTCCATGGGTTTCAATTGAACTTTGTCATATTTTGTTGATCGTTTTAATATTGCTTTCAATTATTTCTGCTTTAATTTGTTGGTTTGTGGTTGTAGATATGTTGCATGGACGAAATTCCTATGTTGAATCCTTTTCTTCATTTACAATGCACAAGACGGTAGATTCATCTCAATTTTGTATTGATAGGTCGTATTATTAAAGGGCACAACAAAAAATTTCTTTGTCCATATACCAGCAAAGACCTCAAAAATTCAATTGGGTATGATGTAGGTTTCTTCGTCTTTCATCTATATCATTTTGCGAAGTACCAAAATTGTCATTTGTAAACCCTAAATGTTAGACTAAATAAAATGGGGTTTTTTTTTCCAGTAATGACATCATTGGCATGGCAAATTGTGGAAAGTCTATGACTGAAAAAAATTAAAGTTATGTGCTTCATTTTTTTTATATTGAGGAATTAAGTAATCTAAGTTGTATTTTGTTTGGCCCCATTTCACTAAACAACTTGCTAATTGCAAATATTCTTAAGGATTCATTCAGTAAATAATACAGTGTTCTGTTTACTACTTACAAGAAACAAACGTATGGCCACCTCTGTTCATCATTCATTGTCATTTACGAGCAACTTCAAAACTCTTTGGTATGATAATATTTGCTGTTCTCTACTTTCAATTTAAAAAAAATAAAAAATTATGATTCTTTGTTTAATATGCAAGTGTCCTGCAAATATGTTGATCTTGATCATTACTTTTGAATTTAAAACCTCTATATGCATGTTATATATATATTTTTTTTTCTACGTTTGTCATTGCAGAATTGCATCATGTGAAAGGAGAAATTCATGTCTTTATGTATGTCCTTAGAAGTAATAAAAAAATTTGAATTTTATGATCTTAAACTAGAAATATATAGAATGTGTCAAAATGCCTTTTTAATTTTGTGGTCTTTAACATGTCATATGAAAATTTAGAAATAAAAAATTGCTAAAAAAGTAGAGAAATTATTTTGAACGAAATAAGAAGAAAAGTAATACAAACAAATTGAGATGGAGAGAGTAACATGTGTTCTATTATCCTCTAGCAATACAAAATTTATTACTTTATAAGAAAAATTGCTATGAATCACTTATTTGATAAAAGTTACTTCAAACTTAAATAGTTCACTGATTCAAAGTACATATGTAACATGCTATTCACATAGACAAACTACTTCCAACGAAGTTAAGAAGTCAAGTGGAAGGCCTGAGCCCTACAAGTTCAAGGTAATAATTTGTTAAAATAGGACTTATTCTCTGTGGCTGCAACTGTCTACCTAAGGGAGTCTTACTTTGCGCTTCTCTCTATATTTCAAGGTGAAGAGTTTCTCTGAACTTGTTGCGGGGGCAGTATAATTACATTAAGTTATTTCACTCACTTCATTGTTAGGAATTAATGCATGCTTCAGCTTTAGCCATCTTACAATAGAAAGAGATTTACGTGTATATGATCTTTCTTCAAACAGTTAAGACTTCATTTGCACTGTTAATTTAAGTTGTTAATCAAATGGTGTTCTACAATACCAAGTGTCTAACTTAAATATGTTTTTCCTTTCTTTTCTCTCTTTTGACTAAAATTTTTAGAAGATGTGTTGATTAGGAAGGAAAATAATAAAAAGAAGGGGATAAAGGTCTTTTTCTCACTATTGAAAGTTTTCCAAATGCTTCTAAAGACTTTTTCACGTTCAATGGGGATAAAAAAAGCTATGAATTGAAGTTACTTGACGTTATTGTTGGTGACTCTATTGTTAGGTGAGGGATAAAATTTCGCTCCTTAAGAAATACTATTAGGATTTTTTTAGAGACATTGTAGTACTTTGTTTAATCAGTCATCCTTACAACTTCTCCTTTGGTGCATTTATAAAATACTCTTGATTCTATATTCTAGCAAGTAATATTATTCCTCTATTTTTATATGTTATTAGAAAATGTTGAAACATTGATTTAGATTTCGAGCACCAAGTTTTCAAATCTTACTACTCTCCATTCCAATTGATCTTGGAGTTGCACTTCATATGTGGAAGTAGCATTTGAGAATACATCAACACAACTCCAAAAAATGAAGAAGATATCATCGAATGTAAAAAGGTCCTTGATAATTCAGGTAAATATTTTAATAAGTGATTCACACATTACTCTTCAGCTGCTTATCTTTCAATGTTGTAAAGATAACTTATTAGAGGAAGGGTCGGGGAAGAAGAGCACACCAGATGGCTATAACTCTTTTTTGCGTCTTCTTGCGGATCCAACGCTATTGTGGTACTATGTCCCTGTTCAACTTCTATTTATTTTTTCCAATATGGCTACTACACCAAATATATGAATGTTGAGTGGTTAAATACAAGAATTTCTACCGGATAACCAACTAAGTTTGGTTCCTGGAAGCAGTTTGATTTGGTTTTGAGAACAAGGGAATACATCATCTAGGATTTGTAAGTGTATCTCATTTTTTGAGGAATTTCTTTCACCATTGTGTTAATAAAAGTCAAATTAATGGGGAAAGGGAGGAGCTTCTAAATTTGCCTACTTACATTTTAACTTCAACATTTAAACATGTTATGTATTTTGATTATTTGCTGCAAGCCACGAAATTTGTGAGACTCAAATTCTGAAAAATTTAGACAAAGGAAAGAAAGAAAGCATCCTATCACTATCTCTGAAACAGGTAAGCATCTTTGCCTTACATTTTTTGGTATTGCCATATTGGTCATCGCGTTATTATAAATTGAGACTATTTGCACATAAGGGTGCATGTTCGATGTGTCTACTCAACATCTTGCGATCTTAAATATAGTTTCAACCAAAAGGTTTATGCTAAGTCGATGCTCCAATAGTATCTATCTCACCTATTACAGAACAATGAAGCGAGTAATATGATTCTAAAAAAAGGTTCCAAACTGATCATTTATGGCACACAAAAATTTGAATATGAAAGAAGAATCTAATCATTTTCGAACTTATATCAGAACATACAATGATATGTTTATGTTCACTTCGTTCGATTAAAATAAAGATAAATTCTCCTTCACTCCACATTATAATTTTACTTAACAAAAGAAAAAAAGACTTGAGACCTGAAGAGGTACTCCTTTCTCATGAATTTATCTTGATTGTGATTCTTTGATTAATTTTATCCAATTTTTTTCTAAGAGCAACCCATTTTCCATCGTGAATCTAAGACTTCTAATGATACCATCTTGATATAAATATGTAATTTGTGCAAATACTCAAGTTTGATATCTTAATAGGAATCTGCCCACAACTATTTTTGATGTTTTTCTTTTCAATAATATATGTTGAAACAACAAATAGTAATATTCAGGCATTGAAAAGTAAGACATATGGAAGGAAGGAGTTGAAGAGGAGTTGTTCCAATGACACATTACAATTGAATTGCTGGCATACTTCCTTTTTTTTTTTTTTGTAATTTATTTTGTTTCTAACCAGTTGATCATTTCTTTAACTAAATCATTTATTACTTAAATATGCTTCGTTGAAAATTATTGCTTATAGTTGAAATGGATTTCAAATTACTTTGTTTACAACAAGTTTACCAAGCACGGGCTATGCCCTACTAGTTTACATATATATGGAATGAATCTTTTAAAAAAAATTAATCAATGAATCTATAAATAATATAGAAAATATATGTTTTTGTTTCTATGTTATTGTCTTATTTTGACTTTGATTTAATTTTTAATTAATTATGCGGAAACAAAACATAAACTTACAAATCATTCAATAATTTTTTTGTAAAAAAAGAAAGCTTCAAATATCAAATCAGATAAGACATTAATTTCAGAGCTTAATATAAAATTCAAAAATAAAAGAGTTTGGAACCAAGCTTACAAAAAGAAAATGGAAGAGGGACGAAAAAAATTGTATATTTATTTGCTATGTTTTAATGATTAAGATTATAAAAATAATATTTTATTTTATTTTGTTTTTGTTTGGTATTTTACATAGATTTTTTGTTTAAGTTTACACTTTTTCCAAGTAACTGATGACTTCAAATACACCAGTAATGTAATTAAACTCCATATCAAAATTAAACAAGTAATGAATCAATAAACTCAGCCTCCATCTTCAAAATAATTTCATCTCTCTTTTCTTCTAATTTCTCCTTCAATAACATAAGTTCTTCAATACTGCTACATTCTTCAACATTAAAATTTTCCATACTCCAATATTCATACAAATTTGACCCCAAATCAGTAGAAAGATCGGAATTTGAAGAAAACCCATTATTCTTCAAGGTGTCGTTGATAATGGGAAACTCGTTGGAACTGTAAAATCTACCGTCTGTCGAGAAAATTTCACTACATCCTTCAGCATTGAAATTTTTCAGATGCAGAGTACTTGGTTTTGCATATGAATTCGATGAAATTTCAATAGAAAGATCGGAGTTTGAAGGAAACTCATTATTCTTCAACTCGTCCGCAACAATGGGAAATTCACCAGAGTTGTAAAAGCCGCCGGGCGGCGAGAAAATTTCATTATTTCCCTTGAAATTTTTCAGCCAGAGAGTACTCCAATCTTCATAAAAATTCGAACTGAAATCAGTAGAAAGATGAGAATTTGAAGAAAACCCATTATTCTGCAAGTTGTCTTCGACGATGGGAATCTCGCCGGCACTATAATGTACGCCGTCTGGCGAGAAAATTTCACTACATCCTTCAACATTGAGATTTTTCAGACGCAGAGTACTTGGTTTTACGTATGAATTCGACGCAGTTTCAGTAGAAAGATGGGGTTTTGAAGGAAACCCATTATTCTCGAAGATGGAAACATCGCCGGAAGTGTAGAGTCGTCCGGCCGGCGAGAAGACTAACAGAGCAATTCGAGCGCCGAATTTGGTTGCGAGTTCTTCAGCTTTCTTGAAAAGACCAGTGCGTCTTTTCGAGAATGTGACTTTTCTTGATGAATTACTGGCGAGCTTTTTAATGTCAATCTTCTTCTTCCCTGTTCCTTTCGTCATCTTTACAATTCTAATCACCGGTGATGTCAAACTGTGGCGCCTGAGTTGAATACATCCGCCGGCGATCGTTCTGAGAGCTTTTTAGTTTTTCCGATCTGAGAGGGGAGACGCGCATACATACATACATATATATATATGTATGTATATTAAAAACAGCCAAAAAAAACACCTGTATAATTAACAAATTAAGCTTAAATTAAATTTGTATTTTATATAATTTGCATATTTGCGCTCCATAATAAACATGTTATGTTTATTTTGTTTTATATATATACAAAAAAAGATAAAGCTATTGTGCCTATACACATATACAATAGAAACAATTGTATAATTTGCTAACTCCTCTTCAAATTTGTATAATTTTGCTGGCAGACAATTTGTATAAATTGTTGTCAGTCTCTCGTTTGTATAAATAGTTGGCAACCTCTTAGTTCAATTCTATGCATTTGTATATCTGTATAAATTTGAATTTATATACAATTGAATCGAAATAAAATGTTTGTATATCAAATATATCTCTCTCACTCGCTTTGTACAAACATAAATTATATATTGTACTTTTGTATAATCATGTATTTGTATAAAACAAGAAAAACAAAAGAGACATGGGAAGGAAAATATTTATATTATATAATTATAAGTGTATAGGATGAATATTTATGTATTTGCATGTGTATATACAATTTTCTCTCGCTTTATACAAACAAAAACACAATTTATACATTTCTGTTTGCATAAAATGAGAGAGGCGAGAGAGACTGACGAGCAGAGAGGGAGAGTGATTAGCGAGAATTTTAGGGAAAGAGGCGAGAGAGACTGACGATTAGAGAAGGCAAATGGCAAGCGAGAATTTCAGGTTGAGAAGCGAGAGAGACTGGCAAGTAGAGAGGGAGAGTGGAGAGCGAGATTTGTAGGGAGAGAGATGACTAACAACAGTTTGCTATGAAACACAATTAAATCAAACTATGATTAAAGCATTTAATTTAAATAAAATAATTTATCATTATATACAATTTTTCCTTTTGCAAATCCATCAAAGCTATTGTTGAAAATCCCCCTCCCCCCCCCCCCAACTCCCACCCTTTATTTTCTTTTTTTTTAAAAAAGTCATTAGCAAGAATCTACATAAATTGCATATAATAGGAAACTCGAACCATTGTTTCAATCAGAAAGTGTTTGGATTGGATGTAAAGATTTCAGTTTCTAGATTGAGGAAATTACAATCTAAATTCAATTCAAATAAATTAGAATTTGATAAGATATTTCTTTTACTTAAAATTTGGATATTGTGAACTTTTAATTTTGACTTTTGAACATCTTCTCTAAAACAGATAATAACAATTAACCTCTATTCACCTAATATTTTGCTTCTTCAAATATAGAACTTTCTACTACCAACAAAGATTAAAGGCTACCCTGCTGCCCATGCCGCATAATTCCAAATTAGATCAAGTACTATAATGGGTAAAATTATATGGTACTGATCTATTAGACCTTTGGAAAATTATACTTGCTAGCATTGGACAAACATACTATAAGTAAAGCTGAATATAAGACAAAAAAATCGGATATTCAAAAAATTGTACAACTAAAGTGCATATCCAATCCAAAATCCATAATTTAACAATAAAAGCCAAACTAAATATCCAAAAAGTTCCCCACAACGGACTATACAAATAACTAGCTTCACTTCCAGCAACATTAGTATTGACAAGTGCTGGCTATAGGTAATATAATAATCTAGCGCACCATATAATAGTTCAGTGTCCAACAGCAGACTATGGAAAAGAAGTTGATCATCTTAACAAACTTGAGGGAGGCTCTTCCAGTTGCTCATCATTTTCAGAAGTTGCAGCACTTAGCCCAGAAGGAGAAGTCATTTCAAGCTGATCACTTGAAGAAGTATTGGTGGCTTTAGGAAATCCTCCAACTCCAAGCTGTAGGCATGACCTGAAATATGTAGTTTTTGTTTTCACCATGTAGAACCGAACCTCATAAGACCAACGACTTCATTTTTAGTGCAAGAGAATACAGTTGAATAAGACTTTGTGCATATTTGAACTGCAACTAACTAGTTTGCTTTTACTGAGAAACAACTCTCCGCTGGTAGTACATTTTTACAGATTTAACACAGTATGCTCATCCTCAAAAACACTTAACACTGTATGTATTGTATCCTCTATCATCCTCCTAACCACAATTTAAAATATTCTTAATCCATTCACACCATCACAACCCTCAGCTTTAGTACAGTGTTAAACTTGTTTCCGAATCACAAGATTCCAAACTTTCTAAAGCTTACAAAATGGTGCATCTTTCCCTAGTAAAGAATGACTATTGATTCCAGCTTTCAAAAAAAAGTCAAACTAGAGCCATTTTATAACTATAAACTTACCGCAGATGGAATTTGGAGAGCTGGAGACTAGACATGAAGAAATTTGAACAGCATCCTCTGACTTGAGTCATCTTATCAGATAAGTCCTTGGTTAACTGTACAGTACACAAAAGAAAAAACATATTATACAAGATCTTATTCGATTACTACCAATCAAGTATGGAATGCAACAAAAGAATAATAGATGTGTCACATTGAGGAAAAACATCAACGCGGATGCAAGGAGAAGATAAAATGCTGGCTTGTGGAGAACAACAGTTCTTGATTTTATCGCGTACTTACAGTTCCTTCTTGGGAATTCTGGACATTGGAGAGCTCAAAATCCTGTGAGCCCTGCCTCCTTTTCTCATTAATGAGAACAAATGCACATTTGCAAATGAAGAATAGAAGTATAACACCAAAAGAAAGCACCAGAATGAATTCAACAATAATTGCTGATCCAAAAACTGCAAATCAGATGCACTTATTATTATCTTCCTGATAATTGATACCATAATAAATTAATAAGTTGTCAATGCTTCACTTATACCAAATGAAATTTCAGATAAAAAGTTAGAAACATTGCATAATTTGCTAGAAATTTAGACTATTTCTCATAGAATTAATGCAACTTCAAAAAGTTACCATGCATCTCCATTTCCATTAATTGCGTTTTGTATGAACCAATCAAGATAAATGAAAAACAATTTTTTGACAGTCTCATCAGAGACCTGTAACTGTGTAGTTTAACATTTCAAAATCTTACCTGAGATCTGTGGGAGGTAGAAGAAAGCACCATTTTCAGTTACGGCTTTACCTAAAGTAACACATTTGGGACCCTTCGGGGTGGGCCAGTGGTTTGAGCTTGGGACTTCCATGTTGGAGGTCTCAAGTTCGAAACCCCTTGCCAGCGAAAGCAAGGGGTTTCCCTTCTGGGTCGAGCTCGTCGCACCAGGTTTGCCTAGTGCGGGTTATCTCTCCTATGTGGTTTGTGAGCTATTGCATAGGAGAGGTGGTTTTACCTTTTGCGCACGCAAAGGGTAGCTGCTGCGGGTTTCCCTTGTCATCAAAACAAAAAAAAAGTAACACATGTGGAACCAAAAAGCTGAAGTATTTGGCGGGTGAATGGAGTTTGGCATTAGGTAAGGTAAGAATTTAAAAGTGGCACCTGTGGTAGGCATGCACCACAAAGTTGAGGAAAAAAATGCAAAGGAAAAGCTTCATAATGATAAATGTTGCACCTTTCTGATGCATAACTTACCATGTGCAAATAATGAACTCAGAGGTTTTTCTCTCATGAGGCTAACTTCAACCTCAACAAAATGAGGCATTGACATCAAATCAGTGCAGCCTGGGTAGCACCCATAGTTCCCCATATCATTCACCGTCACAATAAGACTAGCACGATGTTCATTACCCTGCAAAGCAACTCATGTAGTTATGCAGATCGGAACATGAAAAGGGAACATGATAGATAGCAACATATATGACAAAGAAAGAGTCCGCAATTCTCCAGTACAATGTAGAAGTGATAACATATCCATTTGCAAATTTAACTCTAACATCTCCAAGGATTTTCAGTATATGTCATACAATATAAATACAAATATTAATCTAAGCCCTTATTGTTTACAAAGTCCTTAACTAGCCATAAAAGAAGTCATAGAAAAGGAGAAAAGGGAAAAATGTGCTTATAGAGGCTGCATTGCAGAAAACCATAACTGACTATCTTAGATCACTCATGATGTCTCGTGACACTGCCTTTGACACTCCCTGTGCCACTTCTCAAGTAGTGGTACATATACCATTAGCTAACCTACTGATTCTCGGTAGTTCATTGGCATAGTGGAAGAAAAAAACGAATGAACTGGAAAACCAACAGAAAAATATGAAAGAAGAGAGTGAAGTGAAAGAAACCATATCGCTCATTATTATTGTTTATCACATCTTCCAATACTGTTTCTTGGTTTTTGTTTTGGTTCTTTAGTTCATTAGACTAGTTTGGAGGGGAGGTTCCAGGAACAGCATATGTGGCTACATTTGAAAGAGTGCCGCAGGAAACCAAAAGTGATCTCAGAGGGCAATGAAATCATTATCAGAACTAATCTTAATTCTCTCCACCTTGTACTGATAACCTGCTGTCTTATAAAACAGATAGTAAGCATAAGATCTGATTAGATTGCACTTATTGCAGACTAGGTAAATGATACTACCATACTATCAGGAAACAATACATCAACAATATAGCAAAGGAAGATATAAGGGAAAGAACCAGCCGAAAATGATAACAGTTGCTTAGAATCTCTAGAACACACATGATATAGCAATTGCTCCAAGACACTGTTGCAGTCTTCTAGTGTACCCCGAAATCTAATGCCTTTGGCTTTGACCATGAAATGTTCTGAGATGGTTACAAACGTCTGAAGAGGCTGCCACTGGTAGCTTGTTTTAGATTTTAATTCAGTTGTGCTAATGAGGTTAGCAGGAAGCTTTGTTGAAAGGAAGCCAGAGCTGACTTCCATGGAGAACATAACCAAGAAACGAGACACATTCCCTGAAATAAACTTAAATATCAAAACTGTAAGATTTGAAGGAGGAATGCAACTATGTTCAGATGTAAAAGTGT